TCATAGAAGTCAGTCCTGTGAAAATGTTGTCCATCGTCGTTTCTTAGATGTTGCAGATAATTCTAGCTTTGCACTGGCATAACTATTGGGACTTTCTAGAAGAATTAATACCCAATTACAGTATTACTTTTATACATGAAATATTATGGACTTTTATTTCCCTTTTTGTAAGTCATTCTACACTTTCTGCACATTTGTGCTTTATACGGAATATAAAAATAGGCTTTTTAAACTCTGTTCATGTTTAAACTCACTAAAAAACTACTTGCTTGTGAAATTCTCTTAAAAATTCACTGCATCCATGAGGGGAGGTAAAAATCAAGTAGGCAGTTAATTGCTATAGGTAGTGTGTGGAAAGGAGGGGGAAATCACCCTCAAAGAATAGGTGTCTGAAGGGAGATAACAACATTTGGGGATGAAAAATTAATTGTTTATCCCTTGCAACTATTCAAGTGCAAGGGGATGAGGCTGTGAAAAAAAAAATCTTCCAACTTATTGGAGAATCAAGGCCCAACTTTAAAATATTGAAAAATGCAAATTAGAATAAACAAAATTCACCAAAGAAGTGCAGGATGAGGATCGTACCAGGCCATAGAAGAATATGTGACAAAGGTGGAGATATAGAACAGAGAGTTCTGTAGAGTAGGCTACCAAAGACTAATATAAGTCTTTAGTATCTGATTCTAATTTCACATTCAATAGTGACTGGAATAATTACAGTTTTATAATCAATTTACATTGGCATAAATGGCCATTAAGGCCATATAGGTTCAAATCACTTTCTGTAGACACTACACTAGGAAAAAGTTACCTTTTGCATGTATGGACATCTATATTTAGAGTAAATACAATTTTAAAAGACATTTTCATCAATCTATTTAATCTGTCATATATATTGCCCTTAAAGAATTAAAACTTTCTTTTTAATTAGATCTTCTAACATTAGATAGGAAGTAGCCAGAAGGAAAGATACAAACTGGATTTCACCTTCCACAAAGTGTCTTTAAAAAATCTTAGGTTGCTTTTTGAAATGTTATTCTATATGGATTAGGATATTTTCATATATTAAAAGCTGTCAATCTTTAAAACATTTCCTTATGCCCTTGAACAATGCATCTCCTCACCCAAGGAGATGAAAAGTGCTGAGGAAGAGGAGGAGACAAACAATGCAACAGCCCAAGAAATAAATCTATTTTATAAAAGTCTGCCTAAATGCTTATGTGCAATTACAAGGAAGAGCTATGAGCATGTATATTATCATGAGAGAAAACATACAATATTCAGGCATTTTACTCAAAAAGAGTCTGCGTGATTTGAGTGCAACTTCTTAGTAAATGTACTTAGGACTGCAACCCTGAATTCAGGACCGCAGTCTATAAATCTACCAATTAGAATTTTACTAATAGTAGTAGGACATTTCCCTCACTTACAATGGGAAAATAGATTTTTCAAAAAACACATTTCCATTTCTGATTTTTTTTTGTTATCCAAGTTGACCAATTTTAACTTTCCAGATTAAATGTACATTCCCCTTCCTTGTATATTGCACATTCTTAGATCTTATATACTGTGCGATCCCTTTTCCAAATCATTATATGACTAATTTCAAATTCAGATTTTAGAAATATATTCAGCCTCCCATATCACTAAAAGTAAATGTTCTGTTCAGTCTGAATATATCTTATTTAGATGAGCTACACCCTTGTATCTTCACATAATAAGTGTGACAAGGAGGTTAAAATACAGTTCCTGCAGTCAATATAGGCAGCTCCATAATTAAGGCAGACAGAGCTCCCCAATCCTTCAGCACACACACACCCCTTTCCACTATCATTTTCACAAATTAGAGAAGCTAGGAGACTAGCTCAAGGAATAAAAATATTTTGGCTTCATGTAGCTAACAAAGATTAATTTTTCTATGTTCAGTTGACAAAACTGGTGGTATTCAACTGCTGAAAAATAATTATCAGACTGCAGGGCACAATTGTTTGCCTCTTTTCTCTCAGATAGTCCAATAAATTGTTTTCAAATATGTAAAGTCATTAACACATCAAAAATTTAAGAGACCAAAAAAAGAAAAACTTAAAATTCAAGGACTTGAATTTTATTCAAGACTATTCCTAGCCAAAAATATGTTACGTGTTACACTAGCTTCTTCCCTAAAAGTTTTATCATGCCTTTGTGCAATGCAAAGACACAGACTGAAGTTTTGAGGTACACCATAATTTTTCTATCAAACGAAGCTTTAAACCAAAAACCTCTTTTAAAAAAAATTTAAGAGGCCATGGTCTTCGCTTAAAGAGATAATTTTAAGCACTTTGTTACCAGTTTAAATAACTAATTTAAAATTGATCTCTCATCAAAGATTTTTTGATCAACAATCTAAATTTTAAAGGTTTTATTCTATTTATATCATATGACTATGTACGTAGACAGGTCCATCTTCAGTCAGCCTGGAAGCCGTTTAACAGTGATTCCGAAAGTGAGCAGCTCAGTAAATTGTCCCTGTTAAATATCATCAAACCAATTCTAACCCTGTTTACAGAAAAATAAGCACTACTGATTTAAGTAGGACCTACTTTCAATAGTAAATACAATCACAAGTAATTCAAGTCATTACTTGAAAGTAAAATAAACTGATCAATTTCATGGAAAATGGCAATCACACTTATTTGAGATCACAATTGCTCGCAACTCCCAATTATCTTATTTTTGAATAATGATAGTTAGGACTGGTTGGATGATTTATTCACTTGTACTGACAAATGTACAATTGATTGATTACTTATTTAAAACAAAAGGATAGCCTTCCAAAGCTTATCGCAAATTATCCCTGTGACTAAGTCGAGTTATAATCTTAATTTCCCCACTAAAGTTTAAGACTGAAATATTATTAAAAAAAAAAAAAGTTCACACCCCAACACCTCCCCCCAAACCCCAAGTATCTGCCACAGTTCATCTTTCTTTCCCATTTCCTGTGCCTGAGGCCCAGATCTCAGTAAAGGAAAACAGAGCCTATTTCACTGGTAAAAGGACTCCCAGATGCTCTGGGCAGAGTAAGATGCCGCTTTCCCCTGTGCAGAGCATCTTTTGTAACTACAGAGAGTTTTCTTGCTCAGTTGAGGAAATAAAACAAGAGTCCCTGGAAGGGAAACAACTGTGCCCCAAAGGTGAAGGGCCCCTAATGCTCTTGGGGCGCAGAGAAAACCCCATCTTACGAAGAAAATAAGGCAGTGGCTGAGGTGGGATGAAGAGCTACACACACACATATATATATACATATATATATATATATATACATATATATATATACATATATATATATACCACCCTTTTCTCCCCAGTCTGTTCTGTGGAAAAAAGAAATCAATGCAAAGGCTCCTGGATAAAACGTAGATGGGGGAAGGGACGAGACGGAAAGCTGCCTCTAGTCTATGAAAAATGAGAAAAGCCATCAGCCGCCCTCCTCCTCCTCCCGCTGAGAAGGTACCTCCCTTCACACAGAAGGCGGAGGGCGGGGGGAGGAGAGAGGGATGCTCGCACGGCCCTCTCCCTTAACCTATAGAAGCCTCTGCGCGCGCGCACACTTGACTCACTCACTCGCTCACTCACTCAACCACACACCGGCACGCGCGCAAACGCACACGCCTCGCGGGCGCGCGGCTCTGGGTGTCGCGCGGTTTTTTTTTTTTTTTTTTTTTCAACGTTTCGCTCGAAAAAGGGATGGGGAAAAAAAAGAGAGAGAAAAGAGCCCGGGCTCGCCACGAACTGAGAGGCGACGGTTATTGACGCCACTGTTCAAGGCCTCGCGTCAATAGAGAAAGAGAAACGGCCCTCTCTTGCCTTGGCAAAGAATATGAAAACACCGTGCGCACACACGCAAACACGGCGGCTTGTCGTCCGCCACATTTTATTCGCCTCAAGCTTGTTGGGTGGTTGTTTTTTTTTTTTCCGTAGTAATATTGGGGTTGAAAATAGCGGCTCCACACAAGCGCGCGCGCGCGCGGATAGACACACACACACACACACACAAACAGGCGGGCACGCCCCCTCTCCTCATTCAGTTCCTTTCCCTCGGCTCGTCCGCTGCGCGTTCCTGAGGCGGCGGCGGCGGCGGCTTTGGCAGACTAAAGCGAACCGCGGCGCTGCCTGCCCCACATGGTCAAGGCACGCCCCCCTCGCAAAGCTCGGATCTGATGGCGAGCAAAGCATGAAAGAGACACCTTTCCCTCCTTTTTCCTCCCCCTCCCCCGCGGCTAAGGCGAGCGCGCCGAGATCCCTTCTGTCAGAGAAACGGCTGGGGTGGCGGTGCGGGAGAGAGAGACTCCCCTTTTCCGAATCATACCAAATCAAACCGTCGAGAAAGATAACCTTAGTCCGGGGGAAGAAAAAAAAAAAGACGCTCTACTGCTGTAAAAAAACACTTGGCTAAAATCTTTCGCTTCAGCGGCATCCGCCTCCGCGCCCATCCCCACGCACCGACCCAGACAACCTGAAGGTGACCCAACCCCCGCCTCCCCCACCGGTCACCCCACTTCCAGCCAAGGTTGCCGCCACAATCTCCCAAACACATACACACACACACACCTCCCACGGCCAAATCACGCTGGGTCCCGACCCTGGCATCCTTGGCTGGCTCGGCAGCCGCCGCTCGGAATGAAGGACCCAGATGTACAGCCCTGAAAACACGCCAGAATCGAAGCTTTCTCGCCCTTCATCCCGCCATTTTGCCCCCAATCGCCTTTTCCTGCACCACGCCGGCCGCCCACCCGACCGAAGATGGGGGGGGGGGGAAAGCGCACATCACAGGGGAGAGAAAGGGAAGAGGTATAAAAAAAGAAGAAGAGATCAGCCCTTTAAAGTCTATCTATCCATTTCTCCCCAACCACCCCCCTCCCGCCCCCCCCATGAAGTCTCAGCTAAGGCTCCTCCAAGGGTGAGGGAAGGCTTGGATACATGGCGTATCCAGAGGCGTTGCTTCTATAGAGGCTAATATTGAATCGAGTTTCTATCAGTTCCAGCTGATTTATTAAAACTGTCAAGATACAGACTTTCAGCATTAAAAAAAAAAAAAAAAAACAGGCAATGTTGTTGACAGTGCACAAGTCTGTTATGTTACCATCCTATGCTACAAAATATGCAGATGGTCTGTACTTGTAAGAATCATATTGCACAAAATGAGAAACTTTTACTATGTGCCTTTCTTTTTTTTCCCCATTTCATTAGTTTTTTTTTTAAATTTTCACTAAAAAAAAGTCGAGAATCCAGTTTCATACCTTCCATCTGGGCCCCCATTCACATATCACAGCATATGAGATACATAAATTCCTACTATAGTACAGTACATATACAATCTTTTAAACTAAGATAACAGCTCTGAGGTCTATATCACCATTTTCAATAAATCTTTACCTACAAATATTGAACAAATCTGAACTATAGCTGTACAAAAAAGTGTTTTGTTTTCTTGTTTTTTTTAAACCACAAGGCCTTTAGATACAAGGATTTTTTTTAAATCCTTTCAAAACCAGGACATAAACGTACCCATATAACTTGCATGCTAAAAACAGAGGAAAAAAATAAAAAAATAAAAGGGAAGAAGTGCCTGAAAAGTCTTACTGAAAAAACACAGCAAGAATGTTCCCTTTCACTGTACAAAAATACGCCTGAAAATATATTAATTTTTTAAAAAGACTGAGGTCTGTTATGTATCAAAAATGTTTCAATACCTTTGTGTACTGAGGTCTAGGCTGTCTGGTATTCAATCAAGGAGGTATAAGGGAACAAGTTACAAAAAAAAAGTTGGCAAGTAGAAATCACATTTGTAAAACCATAAACAATTTGATCTGAAAAGTAAACTCTGATCTTAAGTCAGTTCACAGTTTTTTTTTTGTAAGCGTTTGTACAGTCTGCATTTTTTTTCAAGCTCCCTGCAGCTTTGTTAAGAATTGGATGCATAGAAGACATCAGTTTTCTCCCTCCAAACAAAAAGTTTGCAATGGTCCCTTTAAATTTTTTTTAAAAAAATCAGAACAGTCCTTAGAAATCTTTGTAGGAGAAACAAAAACAAAAATCCACAAACCCCCTTGAGTAACAGTTGTGCTGCCAAAAGACTTTTTTTGCAGACCACTTCCAGACTTCAATCACAAACTTCAAACAACGCCTTCTGAATCTTTTAACCCCCAGTCCCGTTTGCCTTTTTTTTCCTTGCTGCTACTGTTGTGATTACCAATTTAAAAAAAAAAAAATCAGAAGGAAAAAAAAATCACAACTCCGGACTCGGTTTGGAACTAACTTCAAGACTTTAAAAAGAAAGAAAAGAAAAATCCAAAGACATTTTGATCATTACTTCACTTCAAAACTCCACCACGTTTAAGCGTAAATCACTTTCCATTACCGATTTTTTTCTTTTTTTTTTCTCAGTCCTTTTGATCTCTCTCTCTCTCTCAGCCTGTTCGCCTGCCCATCGCGTTTTCTTCTGCTCTCTCCCTCCCGCCCTCGCTCGCTTCTTCAGTAAGTGAAAACCAAGTCGGAAAAGTTCGCTTCCAGCCAGTCGCCAGCGATCATCTCGCTCAGCTCCGGGGTGCAGTAATCGGGGAACTCAAAGTGAGAGCCCAAGCTACCCTCGCTGAACGAATCCAAATCCTTGTCCACGAGAGAAAGGGACAGGTTGCCCGCCGCGGAGCTCACGCCCATCTCCGAGGCGGCGTGAGTGTGCTGGGAGAAATTCAAGCTCAAGTCAAACATCAGGTCGTCCGCCTCTTCGCTACTGCTGCTGGAAGAAGAGGAGGAGGAGGAGGTGGAGACGGACCGGGAGGAAGCCGGGGACAGGCTGGGCTGCTGGGCGCTCTTGGGCATACTCTTGAAGCCGTAGTAGAGTCTGCTGGCGCTGGCGCCATGCGAGGCGGCGCCCCCCCTCACCTCTTCGTACAGGCTGGCCCCTTCGGTGGACTCCGCCGAGGAGCTCAAGGTGGGGCTGGCCGGGACTTTGGCTACGTTGTACCGCCTCAACTGCTGCTGCTGCTGCTGCTGTTGCTGCTGCTGGTGGTGGTCCTCTTCCTCCTCCTCGTCGTCCTCCTCCTGCTTGATCCGCAGCTGCAAGTCGTCGTCGTCGTCCTCCTCCTCGTCGTCCTCGTCCATGAAGACGCACTTGATGGTCTTGCTGCTCACTTTCAGCGTCCCGAATTGGTGGTAATCCTCTCCCCCGTAGTCGCCCGGGTGGGGGGCCAGCTTCGTCCCGGCCTTCGGGGGAGACGACGAGGAGGAAGAGGAGGAGGAGGAGGAGGAGGAGGAGGAGGTTTTCCCTTTGCTACATTTCTTACTGGAGCTTTTGGCGCTCTTGCCGCCGTTGCTGTTGCCGCTGCCGGTACTGGTGGGTGTGTTTTTCTCCGGGCTGTGGTTGGCGCTGGGTTTGGCGGACGGGTCTATTTTGGGCTTTTTCCTCGGCCTGTATTTGTAATCGGGATAATCGGCCATGTGTTTAAGGCGCAGTCTTTCGGCTTCCCGGATGAACGGGATCTTTTCGCTGTCCTTGAGCATTTTCCACCGCTTGCCCAGGCGCTTGGAGATCTCGGCGTTGTGCATGTCCGGCGACTGCTCCATGATTTTTCTTCGCTCGATCTTGGACCACACCATGAAGGCGTTCATCGGTCTCTTGATGTGCCCCGAGGCCGTTTTGCACCAATCCGGATCGCTCTCATCCAGCGCCACCGGGCTGCACGCCATAAACTCCCCTTCTTCGGTATCCATCGCTTCTCTGGGCAGGTTGTTCTCCGATTCTGGACTTTCCGCTTGCTGGACCATGGTGGGAGGTACGATTTCTCTTGAGAGTTTCTTTGTAAGTCTTTCGGGTCGATTATTATTATTTTTTTTTTAAAAAATGTATTTTTCCTCCACTTTGCACCCACCGACCGCTCGCCCACCTCGTTCGGCTCACGCGAGCGGCTGCAAGGTGAAGCCCGGCGCGCAAGTTGCAAGCTCCTTTTTTTATTTTTTCTTCCTCCCTGCCCTTTGCGTTTCTCAGTCTCTCCGTTTCCCTCCTGCTCCTCGGTCGCCGCTGATTATCCGTCTAGCGGCGGCAGAAGCAAGGACTCGCTCCGGCTCTTTCCCCTCCCCCTACAGCAGCAGCAGCAGCAGCAACAGCAGCCGCCCGGACCCAGAGATCTCGCTGGATCACACTCCCCCTTCTGCAAAAGTTGCGGGTTCTCTCCGAACTAGTTATCAGGGTTTCATATGGGTGACATCACTCCTGCGGCCAGCCAATGGATGAGCCGAACTCCTCCCCTCGGCTCCGCCCCTCCGCCTTTATTAAGTTCCCCCACATGTAGGCATACACACCCCCTTTGCAGCGGCTGTTGGAAGGCATGGGGTGGGGGGGGAAATAAAGTGGAAGTGGGAAGGGGGCTGGGCTTGGAGGTTCGTCTTAACAATCGGAGAGGGAAGGGGGGACAGAAGCGAGGGAATGGCTCGGAGAGGTCGCTAAAGCCGCGCTGGGATCAGGAGATCGTCCTCTCCTCCTTGGGCTTTCTTGCTAGGAAGGGGCCCTACTTCTTATTTACCAGAATCTGGGAGACAGCGCAGGTGAATCTGGTGCGATTATACCCACATTGCCCAGTGTTACACTGGGGGAGCTTATTCTTGTAGGAATCCACTCGCATCCTTCTGGGCATTGGCTTCTTCTTTGCACAACAGCTGTAGGTGGCGCTTTAGTACCACTAGCTCGTTGCGGTTTCATTTTGATCAGATTCCTTCTGTACACTGAGACAGACAAACACACACGGAGATTTGTGTGTATGCGTCTTCTTGACTTGTAGATTATTTTATTTTCTTCCCTTCCCCCCCCACCTTCTCCCAAACCTTCCTTCCTCTCTAGGCACACTCTGCCAGACCTCCCCACCTACCTGATCTCCTGGCAGGACTATATTTTGAATTTCTTGCCTCTTTTTCCAAAAAACCAGCAGCAGGAATATAATCTGGCTCTTCAGTGGTAGATTAATATCTCTTGAGCATGTTTCCCAGCTTCAAGAGATGGAGGTGGAAGGAAGCTTGAAAATTCATATATGTCTTATCATATGTTATAATTCAGTTGCCCTTAACCGCATGTACTTTGCCCATGTTTGTGTATTTTTACTAACCCCATTCAAATACCATTTTTAAACAGTTATCTCCTTAAATAAAAATTAAAAACAATCCAAAGTAAATCAAAGTACTGTCTAATTTATAATGAATATTTCAAAGTACCTTTAGCTTATCTAAGCACTGATTTTAATCAGCTTTTAATCAGGTTATATTTTCTAAGTACATAAGGGTATGTAAGTGAGGCTGGCAATGCCAACAAAAGTGTGCTTAGGTGTACTAGGCCATTTGCCTTATCAGCACTTTTCTACAAGCTGTTATTCCAATAAACGTGCTTAAAACTCTATTTTGTATGTCTTATATTTGTAATTAAAAGTAAAATGTACATGTATTTTAAATGTTTCCTTTTTTGTATAAACAGTGGCCCACCCATTCCTGCAAATATTTTTTAAAAGATTTAATGATGTTTTAAGTATGACAAATGTGGATGTAGTTATAGGATTAGAATGTAAGGACACTTTTGAAAGTTAAACTATCTCAAGTCTTTTTGCACCAGTACATACATGCTTATCTGGGAGTTCATTAGCAACCAAATCAGTCCATCATCACAAAATATCTAACTCCCAATGTGACAGCAATGTTAATGAAAGTATTGTGGCATTAATTTGATGGCAACGTTTTGCAAAAAGTAGCACTTAAAAGCATAAATCTTCAAAGATGTAAATAGATGCAAGAAAATAAATCATATACAAACATGTAATACTTAATGTATTTTTGGAATAAAATAAATATAAGGATGCATGCCATTTATTAAATGTACTTTTGCTTGTGTAGACCTCTTGCCAAAGCTAAAGCAGATAAAAAAGTACTTTGCTCAAAAATGCTGAATATGACATATGACATACAGCATCTGTTCCAAAATAAGGTATAAAAATCTTCAGACAGCAAAAAATTGCTACATTGCATCGTGGCTAGCTTGCTAGTTTTCATTGCAGAGCATGAAGTCACCACAGAATGGCTTGCCTTATTTAGACGGAAGAGTTCGTGTTGGAAAAATGTCCTTTGAAATAGACCATTTGCAGACACCAGTATTCCTGGGTCAACCACAGTGACCCACCCTCTTCCTGTCCACTCTGCTCAAGGTGGGGAAAATATCTGCACTCATTTAATTAGAAGAACTCCTGCCCCTTAGACTTAGAGAGGAAGAGAACATTTTCTGGCTCAATCTTTGTTCCAGAAAGAACTTTCAGGTTATTGAATGTACATTTGAATGTAACTTTTGCTTACATTCAATTCATACCCATTTTTGTTTTGAAATTCAACTAGGGTGAAGTAAACAGGCAGGGTGAAGTTTTCCCAGTTTCAAAATTTGTGTTCTGATTAACGTTCTATGCTGTGCCCTAACATGATTTGTCTGACTCTGATTTTACACATTTGGGGGGCCCAGTCAATCAGGTTTGCAAATAATTTATAGCCAACTGTAGCTCAGTCAATTAAGTGTGATTAAACAAACCATGGCATAGAACACTATGTGAACTAAGCTAGTATAAGATTGTGGATGAACCAGCCCCACTTGTTTGGAAACTACCGTAGATCCAGTAGTCACAAACTGATAACTCAATTTATATCTCTATTCTGGTCAGCTGGTATTGTCCTTTTGTAAAATAGCAATAGCAGTGGCAATAGCAGTTAGACTTATATACCGCTTTACAGTGCTTTACAGCCCTCACTAAGCAGTTTACAGAATCAGCATATTGCCACCAATAATCTGGGTCCTCATTTTACTGACCTTGGAAGGATGGAAGGCCAAATCATCTTGTGTGGCTCAGAATCAAACTCCAGGCAGTGAGCAGAATTAGTCTGCAATACCACATTATAACCACTGCACCACCATGGCTCTCATTTGGACAGTTTGTAATCAAATATAAAATGATCTGACATCATACCTCATATCTAATGTAGATTTGAAATTCTAGAGCTTTATTTTAGGGTACATCATATCTAAGATGCTTCATATCATATGGTCCAGTTTTCTGTACAACATTACCATTGTTTTTGAATTTGTGCCAAATAAGTGGCGGTCATGAGAATTTCACTTTTGCAACACATTTAGTTTTACAACTATTCTTGCTGTAGTATCAGTGTAAAATGCCAAGTGTACCTTCAGTATAAAATGTCAACTGCACCTTCAAAACAGGTGGAAAAAAATAGCTCTATGTCCTGTCAGATTTTCAATAGGTTGTGGAGTTCTAATGAAAGCCACCAAAATAGAATTAAATCAGCAGTTTGTTACATGGTGGTGAGATAAGGATGGATAAAATAAGTATAACATTCTTAATTCTTGATCGGGATTCCGTGTGCACAGTCACTCATGCCCTCGTCACCTCTCACCTGGACTACTGCAACGCTCTCTACATGGGGCTCCCCTTGAGGAGCACCCGGAGGCTCCAACTGGTCCAGAATGCGGCCGCGCGGGTAATTATGGGAGCTGCATGGCGCTCCCGCATAACACTGCTCCTGCGCGAGCTGCATTGGCTCCCAGTGGTCTTCCGGGTGCGCTTCAAGGTGTTGGTTACCACCTTTAAAGCGCTCCATGAAATAGGACCTAGTTATCTTTGAGACCGCCTTCTGCCACCAATGACCTCCCATCGACCCGTGCGCTCCCACAGAGAGGGCCTCCTCGGGGTGCCATCAGCCAAGCAATGCAGGCTGGTGACCCCCAGGGGGGGCCCTTCTCTGTGGGGGCTCCCACCCTCTGGAATCAGCTGCCCCCAGAGATAAGGAGAATCCAAGACCTCCGTGCCTTCCGCCGTGCCCTTAAAACTTTCCTTTTCTAACAAGCCGGGCTGGCCTAACAAATCCTTTTAAATGTTTTTAAATTCGTTTGTCTTTTTAAATTTTGGGCCAAATTGAGATATTTCCTTTTAATCTGTTCTTAATGTATTATTATGTATTATTATGTATTATGTATTTATGTGTTTTTACTTGGCTGTACACCGCCCTGAGTCCCTAGGGAGAAGGGCGGTATATAAATTTGAAGTAAAATAAAATAAAATAAAATAATTGCTTTGTATGGTTTGAAGTCACCAATGTCGGCAGTTACATTTTTTCACCTAGTGTGCTTTACTAAAGCAAAAACATGCCAATAAAATTGAATGTAGACCCACAAAGAGCTGAGTATGCAGTATTGTATAATTTTATTATCCAGCTGGCAACAGGTTAACATGACCGCCCGATAAAGGCAACCAGAATGTTTGTCAAAGTTAGAAATGTAATTATGTGATTCTGTCTTCCAACCTGTTATGCCAAGACTATAAAATAGACAGGAAACTGTGAATTCTTTGCTATGATAAATGTAGCCAATGAAACACTTTTGATGTTGTACAACATGAAAAAAATAGGATCACATGGCAGACAGTATTTAACAACCTACAAATTCCTATGTTGGCATGTAAAAATGCATTTACCTTAAGCTCTTATCAAAACTCTGAGTCAGTTTGGTGTAGTGGTTTAAGGCACCAAGGTAGAAAAGAAGAGAAGTGCAGTTTTAAAACTAGAGAGAGAATCATCAATAACCGGCACTGTGCTGATGACATGAAAATATCTCATAGCTGAAAAACTCTGATCTGCAAGCTCTGGTAAGGAAAGTCAAGGAGTACAATGAAAAACAAAATGGGAGTAAGAATAAATACAAAGAAGACCAATCAAAGGCAGCAATGGGCAGATATCACCAGTAAAGAAACCAGCACTCAAGAAATGTATCCCACAGAGTGGCATTTGGTAGAATAGCAATGAAGTCCTTGAAAAAGAGACTCAGATGCCAGGATGTGTCTATAGCTACAAGATCAGAATCATGCAGGCAGTAGTCTTCTCTGTGACACCCATGGTAGTGAAATTTGGACTTTTGAATAAGATAGAAAAAGTATGCTTTTGAACTTTGGTGTCTGAGACAGAGGTGGGCTGCACTTATGTTCACAACGGGTTCGCTGGTTGTGAGCGTGCACACACCCCTTTGGGACTGAAACGGAGCTTCAAACATGCTGCTAATCAACTCAGGCAGCTCCAGTGAGTACAGCAGGGGCGGCGCAGAACTCAGCTGGGCAGCATGGGCGGGGAGAATGAGC